GGAACCTGCTGGAACCTGTGCAGCAGGAAAACTTCTGCACGTCCCTCGTGTTTCACCGACCAAACCCGTGGTCCACGAGATGCTTCTTGACCAGTCACTTGAAGGTTGACCCAGATTAAGCCTGTCTCGGCTCTAAGCTGAAACGTAGGACCATGAGTTATGGGTCAAAGATCTGTCGCCAAGATTGCCTCATACGAGAAGACGAACACATCTAGAGGACCCGCTGATATCTAGAAGGTGATATCGGATATCCTCTTGGAGGTGAAGAGGAACAGGGAAGTTATAGTTTCAATCCCTTTGCAAACGGAGACATAAATGCAAACCTAAAGCAGCAAAGCATCCCACCGTCATTCTGCCCTCACCATGACCGATGCTGTCGACCTTGAGTCCTTCGGTCTGCATCAGCTTCTTGTTCTCATTACCCTGAGGCGAATGAGCACGGAACAAGGGTTGCCGGTGAAGGGTTCGTTCTGGGGGCAACCTGCCTAGCGGAAGGAGGGCTCTATTTATTGCACAAAGCAATGGTCAAGTCCCACAGGTCTTCCTGAGCACCGACAATGCGCATTTTCCTGATACCGTCTGCTGAGACTCCCACAAGCCAGGCCAATGCTCCAACAGCAGGAAGAGTAGTCCGCACTAGTGGCCAATCGCAAATATGGTTAAGTCAAAAAAATCAAGACTCAAGTTGTTAAGACCTAGGTGTGTGTATAAATAGTATATATGTCTCTATGTGTGTGTGTATGTATATATACACGATACATACATACATAGCGTGCTGTGTTGTGTTCAGTGTGTGCTCTTGTGTTCTCGTTGTGGTGATACCTCTCCTCTTGCTCCGACGAACCAACACGCCGGTACCCCTGAATGAGAAAAGAGGCCGTTTTATGGGGAAGGTGTCGGACTCGGGGTCGTTGGGTGACGTCGAACCCCAACGTCCCACGGGTTTGACCGTTCACCACCGTTCCGACGCGTTCCGCGCCGTTCCGCCCCGGAAACTCCGCCTTAATGGCGGCGAAGACATTGGCCATGGCGGCCGTGATGAGGGCGGCCCAGGCGAAGTTCATTTCACCCAACGAGGCCAACACCTGTGGCGAGGCCAATTGGCGCCGTTCAGCCGTTCGCGGGTTGCACCCGAGGGGCCGGTCGAAGGGCAGTGTCTCCCAAAAGATGCCAAAATGGAGACAGAAACCTTAAGGCAATGTGCATTGAAAGTTGCAATATCTCCTATTCTGAGCATATTGTTCCGAGCAGGATATCTTTCCAGCTCCTCAATTGTGAGCTCTCCCACGCAACTCATGCTCTTAATAACTGACAGGTCTCCTTCCCAAACGCTTTCTTCCGATTTAGAAACAACAAACATTTCACACCTGCCGAAGATGATCTGCTTTTTTCAAGAGAACACTTGGCCGCCCTGCTACGCCGCCAATCACTGGGATCAGGCAAAGCCACTTGCCTGTGCTGACCTTCCTGGCAGCCGGGAATCCTTTGGAAGAGTAACAGCAGCACACCAGGTGTATAAAGTCTAAATCTATTATTCCAGTACAATTTCTTGGGGGTCCTCATGTCTATCCTCCCAAGTATATACAGTGAACTCATATACTTTTCAAGCATGTGGTTCCTGAGCATCTCACTACAGTATGCAAACACATGACCCAAAAGCCTTACTTGTCGAAGCCTTAAACCGCGTCATCATGGTGCGATCACTAAAGATGAACCCACAAACCCATGTGCAAGAAACAAACGGGTCCAGAAACCCTCGCCAAAGTTTTGCAAAAATCAAATTGATGAGAAAGGCTTCCGCAAAAGCCTAACAAGTTGGAGGCCATCGCTATTGGGTTGGAGGACATGTCTATTAGGTAGTGGCTTTCGCAAACATGTCCATTCTAATCTCCGCATATATATCTCCCAGCAGATCCCCAAAGGACCAAGGTCTACGCTTGTGTCCAAGGTCTAGGCTTGGCAGTATACACTCAGCAATCCAAGAGCCACGCACACCACAGCTTTCATGGTTAAGTAGATTGAGTGAAAGGAAATGACCGAAATTCACCGTGAACCACAGCCCTTCAAACCGTAAAACATACGAAATTTCAAGACCTTTTGTCTTACTTCGGTTTGCTTCCATTCTTTCGGGCAAGCTTGGTGACCCCACTGGTTGTAGAACAACACACCCAGCAGCGCTGCAAAGGCTGGCTCTGCGGCCTCTCGTGTGGATTCTATGAAGATTGATCGAGTCGATGAAGGTAGATGGGTTGTGTCTCAAAGACTTTGGGGGGGAACATGGGTTGGTTGTCGGCCAGTCATATTGAATTTGACCTCTTGCGCAAAAGTGCTTAAAAGCCCGACAAAATTGAAAAGTGAGGCTTCTTCGTGCGAGAAAAAAATGGAAACATGTGCTTTCTGGATAGTCAATTCGGCTGGTTGCCGCACGCCCCAGGTTGGTCAAGGCTAGCACCCACTGATCCATGGAAACCAGTGTCAACAGCGCTTGGTGCTTGAGTGCTTGAGCAAAAGTTGACCTTCACAAAATAAACAATTCCCTTTGTGAACACCAGGTGCTCATCTCTCACGCTCAAATCTGTGCAAAAATATGACCTACAGGAAAGCCGTCTTTGCAGGAGAATAATGCTGGTGCTTTCTTGTGGTGTGGCACGTGGTGAGCGGGTAGATGACATGCAAAGTTGATTTATTTGGAACTCATTGCAAGTCTACGATTGCAGGGGTCAGATCATGTTGCAGCCCATGTGAAGAGACTTCAACCACATGTGAAGGTTGATTCCTTCTAGCAACACCGTTTAGAGGTCCACTTGATCCAGTGCCATGCCTGAGCGAATCTCAAAAAAGTAGAAAAAGTCGAACCTGTCTCGAAAACTCCAACCAAATTGTCAATTTTCTTGAGCATCTAAAATCGTTTTGAACTATAGGCCAACAGTTGTTGCTTTCCGGAGGCTCAGTCAGGCACATCAGTGTAAGCTCTTGATGGGTCCTGGGGTCCTGAAACTTCAAACTATTCTCAGAAAGTTGGAATGCAAAATTGACTTTTTGACTGTTTGCGAAACGCCCCTTCGTTTTCGCGCTATATAATCATGGGCTCCCGAATTTCTAGCTTAGCCTGATGGAACAGAAAGTATGTGAATTCACTCATTTCTGAAGGTGGTCCCTTTGGTTTGAAGCAAACCTAGATGAGTACCATCTTGTTCAACAACGATTGGCAATAGTGATGTTGTTCGCGCCAAACGTCCTAATGTGGATCCTCTGATCGGGGTCGAAAACTGGAGCACCTTCAAAGATTGCCCGACTGCCCCAAGCTCGCACCAGCAAACCATCTCACACATCTACACGAACCTTCCAACAAGCGATCCAACCAACCAACCTACTCAACCGATCCGGTCCGCCCAACCCAACCCAGTCGCCCCGACCCGACGCCTTCACGATCTGCCCAAAGGACACCGCCCCGGCATTCAGCGCAAAGACCGAGGCGGCATGCGCACCTGCAGAACGGAGGCACAAACGTTCCGGCATTTCAGCTGCCACCAACGTTCTGCCCACGTTTGGAGCGAGGTTCGGGAAATGCCTGAGGGCAAGCCACTGTAAGAGGTGCTAAGTTCTAGAAAAACAGCCTTCTGCAAAAGAGCCTGTTTCTGACATAACACCGAGTTTGATCATGTCCCTGTGCAGTTTCCAGGGTCAGGCACCAAACACTAAAAAGCAGGCACCAAACACTAAAAAGGTTCGCACGAGCCTGCTGAGGTTGCGCCGACTGCTAAAGTCTTCTTGTAGTCCCTGCCACGATGGCAGCAGGGAATAAAGCACCCGGTAGCGCAAAAACTTGTGGCTACACTCAATGAAAAAACAATACCGATAAATCCTTGCGACAGCTGAGTGAAACGAAACCAATGAGGGGATGATGGGAGGGTATTCCCCAAGACCAGGATGCTGTCACGTGGGGAGATGCAGCACTCTGCTACATTTGATGTCCTTTTTGTAGAGGTTGCAGGCCTTCCTTTGGTGGCAAATATTCCAGGACGTGTCGGGGACTGGACGAAGCAGCATAACAACACGGGCAATCTGTCCGGACCTGGTAAACCTTCTTTGCAAGGCATTCAGTCAACAAATCGGCGCACACCTGGACCATCCATCAAACCATCAAACCGCATGTTCAATCCATTCTTGTGGGGAATGGAACCTCTTACATCTCAAACGCTCTCATTCAGCACCCTGTCACCCGAAAACGCCCTGAAAGCACCCTGTCACCTAAAAACGGCCGGCGAAAAACGGCCCTTCAGCTGAGACGATGGCGAGAAGGTGAGTTCCGGCAGCTTCCGAGTGTCGGGATAACCCCAAAGGAGAAGCGCCCACAGGCAGCCGACGCCCAACTGACGGTCAGCACGGCGGAGTGAGGACCCAACAAAGGACGAAGGTTGCTAGTAGGAAGGCCAGGAGCCCCTAGTAGCGTCCTTGCTCCTAGTAGCGATGCCAGGAGCCCCTAGTAGCGTTCTTGTTACTCATTTCAGAAGGGTTTGTTCCTTGTTCAACTGCCTGCAGCTTGACAATCTCTGCATCAGGTTCCCCCCAAAGGGCCCGGAGTTGGTCAGATAGCTCAGTCGAGGAAGAATTGTCAAATAGGTCAGTCCAGGTACTAACCTTCCAGGACACCCTCAAATCAACTGCTGGTTCCAACAACTGTGCTCTCGGTTCACGGAAGGATCTGTTGAACCTCTGTGGGGGGTGAAAGGTAGCTACCAAAGGAACGTTAGTCTGTTGAGGATCCATTCAACATGGCATTGAGAAATCTCTGCCTCAACAATTCCTTCCCAAAGGACCAGCAGGTGTTGGTCTCTGGCTTGGTTGCCCGATGAGTGACTTGGAAGGTGTGGATTGCACCATGTGCCATCGCCGTGTTTGAGGTATAGTAGTGGTGGATGGGTCTGGCTGGTAGAATTTGATAGCATATAGTCCCTCTCTCCAGCCGAAAGAAAAACTATCCAAGTCGTTGCCCAGGGTTATCCAATGGCACCCTGCTTTATCTGCACACCAGGCACAACGTAACTCACCCACACCACCTGCGAGATCGCCCCAGGTCCCGTCGGGCTAGTCCCGCCCATTTTCGCCTGCATGGTGGCGATGGTCATGGGGAAGCCGGCCGTCCCCCCAGCCGCTTGCAATGCTCGCCTGGGGACTCATGTGATGGCCGGCACGGGGTAGGAGTCACGGTTTCTGAACCAGTCGTCATGTCAGTCTGGCGATTGAAGAAGTCGTTGCTGCGCAATGAATCTCTTCAGAGTCGCTTCCCACTTCGACGTCGACACACGCCGCGCCCACGCGTTTACTCAGGCGCCCCGACTTGTTGGTAATGTTGTAGTAGTAGTTCCCGAGGTACCAAAGCGCAAAGTAGGCGAAGAGCACGAAATCGAACTTCTTCTCCTGCACAAGAACCGTCTAAACCATTTCCTCTGAGAAGGTCTTTTTGGCGAAGACGTAGGGGGGACTGTGACGAGGGAGGAAAAGGACGACGGACCTGTAGTAGCTTTTCGGCCGATTCCTGGATCCGACCTGTTTGGGTCGACTCGGCGTACAACCGTGAAAAGGTGGTGTTTTGTGCCTTGTACCAAGCGCATGCTTGGGGGTTCTTCGACTATATGGCTAATGCATTGTTTACTTGATAAAGGCGCCAAGTACAGTGACTGAAAGAGGAGGACACAGAAACATTCGTGTAGCATGCACAGATTTTGGAAGAACGTGCTGCGTCCTTGAAGATTTTGTACCCTGTTCCAGTACCTTGTTTTTTTGATTGGCAAACACAATTTGTTCATCTTCTTTTGATTGGTAGGCCTGGGACAAGCATATAGCCCAAAGAAGAGCACTGAAGAAGAGTAATAAAGGATTACAGTATATAGACAAAACCATTTCTGTGGCCAAGAAACAAATGCACGAGTCGGCACCAATGTGCCAAAAGGATGTCGGATTGGCATGCGAATCGATTCATGGAATGATGCGAAGAATATCAAAGGCTTAAAGCAGCATCACCAGCACCCTTCTCAGTTGGTGTCGGCCATGCCTCAGTGCTCTGCATGTTTCACATCTTCTCTACCCGTTCTCTCTCCACAGTGTGTGGAACAAAAATAGAATCAGGGACTTAGGCGGCCTAACCCCTCAAATGAATCAGTTCAGCTGATATTCTTTGAGCCTTTCAGTTGGGAACCAAGAGCGAGGAAGCTCAGAGCAAGCCTTGGCCCGGTGGTTTCTTCCACTGGAAACGCTCACGGGTTGACGAGTTGGGAGAGCCATGTTTTTGGAAGATGGTGCTGTCCAGTGCTCCTGAACGATGTTTTCCTGAAGATTGTAGCTGAACCCAATTGAAGGGCCCACGAAAATCTAGAGAGACTATGCGCTAAAAGAAGCCCTTGGTGAGCTTTCACACATGGAACTCTTTGGATAGGGCTCCAACAAGGGTCTCTCTGACTTCAACATAGACCCAAACAAAAATCGTCAATATAGTGGTCTTTTGGTTTAAGTTACTTTGCCCGGGAGCAACACTTTGTGTGTATGGGACTGAATGAACAACCTGCTACCCTTCCCTTTCCTTCCCTCCAACCGTACTCGGATACGGATTGCCTCCTTCTCGGTGGATGCAGCCTCGCGGGCCGTCCACCCGGAGGAGCAAATTAGATCATCTTCAAACACATCCTTCAATAGATGCATGCAGGTCGCCTCATTATGTGGGTAGGTCACTTGTTGCACAGGACACTAGTCACTGATTCATTCCGGAAGAGACAACCCCAAGCAAAAACAACGAACTGATGCTGCTCGTCTCAGAAAATAACAAGAGATCATCAGATCGAATGTGTCTGTCGGTCAGTTCCCGCAAAGCAGGGGTGGCCCAAAACTCCAACAAAAAGGCTCGAACATCAAAAACAAATGGTCCGTGGGCGGGGGACTGTCACGACTGGGCCTCGCCCTGGTCGACACCCTGGTCTACCCGGACTTGCTCGGGAGCAGCTGGGTCTTTGGAGGGTCTTTGGACTTGGACTTGGGAAAACAAAGATCAAACATCTGTGGTACCAAGTTGAAACCAAACAGAAAAAATCGTCTTACGCATGACACCGAACCGAAGACTACAGTAGTCACTCGATCTGGTTCACTTTGGGCCAACAAACTGAATAGCCTCCTCAGCCTTCAGCGGCACTCGAGAAGCAGGTCCTCGCACCGTGCCAAGTCACAGTGATCACAGGAAATGTTTGGCAAGAAGTTGTCCAATGTGGAAGGACTGATTCATCAGTGCCGAGAAATGAACAAGCATGCCGGGTCTTTGCACGTAGGGCGGTTCCTGGAACTTCTTGCGACTGATCTGGCATGGTGTGCCGGCATGGAAATGAAGCACAAAGGGCCCTCTTTTTTCAAGTCTCCTGTCTCAAGACCACTGTTTGCCTCTGTGATTCACTGGAACTGAATTCTGCAGTGCAAACACTGGCACAACAAGATATGATATGATCAGATCTAGAATTCTTGTGGCGTTTGCTCAACACGAGCGCAAATCTGTCATCCTTGGTAAAGTCGAAGAGGTCCATAACGAGTACCTGGCCATGGAGTGCGCAAACACATGGGCCTGCCCAGTGTGCCTGAGAAAAAGAAACTGGAAACAACGCCCCTCCCATCACTCTGCAAACATCAGTTACAGCCCTTGACTTTGAGGAATCTGCCTTTTAGGCTTCAGCAAGTTGAGACTAAAAAATAGATCCCGCTTTTGCACTCCATGGCCTTTTCTTTTTTTCTTGGGTATGGCTATTTTACAGCAGTGTGTGGAAAAAATGTTACCCGCAATTATATAATAATAACAACTATGACCAACCTCTTTTCTTGCGCATTGATCGGCACCCATTGCCTGCTAATGGTCTGGTCGACACAGAGCTTGATGGGGCTGAGGGTGCAAGAAACGCACTGGCCTGGAGTGCAAGCAAGTCCAGCTGATGTCTGTGGAGAGCATCTAACCCGTCTGAGAGGGCCGGTTGACTCCAAACACCAATGGTCTGGATAATGTGTATCACCTCTGAAACCCACAAGATTGAGCTCCGGGTGACCTACGGAGGCTACTCTCCTTGACACACCTCAAAGTTCAATTTTGCGAGTGCCCTGTTGGGACCTCAATCAGCTAGGTGCATCACGAGCAATAATCCTCTTGGACTATCTTAAGACCAAACAAAACGGTGCCTGTAGCACAAATAGCAAATAATTGTTGTCGCTGCGGATCTGAACATTCAAGAGCTTTTGAATGCTCTCATGACGGTAGAACCAAATGTTCTGTCTTTTTCAATACACATGAAGAAGTTGGAGATCACATCACAATTCTCAAGGATTCCATCCAAGTGCCTCATGGAGTCTGCCCATGTGTGCCCAAGTCCCATTCCCACTCTGCAACACCAAGATCACCTCTGCAAAGAGCACCACCAAGCAGGTGCCCACACAGGCCAAGCGCAGGGCCCAAGCCTCAGGCGAGGAGAGATCGACTGGGCCCTGAAAAATGCCCCAATGCTAAGAGATCAGGAAACACCACTAAGAGATCGTGGATTTCAGATCTCATGTCCAATGCTAAGAGATCGTGCCAGAACATGACTCTGAAACACCACTTGGAATAAAGTACTAATGGTAGTTAATACAACAATACTCTTGCCACCGCTGGAATGGTCCACAGCCTATGTGGATGTCTCATGTACAGCGGACACTGCCTCTCACCAATCATCACCCATTACCCCATTTGCAACCATGCAAAATTTGGTTGAATTGTGCGCGGTACAGTGTTTGCTTGTGTTCTTGGGTTCACGCTTTGGTAAACTTTTGGGCCTTGTGTCCATAAGGAAAAAAATCCGGGAAGAAGAAATCCGACCCTGAAGAAGGGCGACCTTAACGAGGTCCCCAACCAAACCAGTTGGCCACCCCGCTGATTCGTGCATGGGAGGTCCTGTTTCTACAGTGAAGGCATTCTGATGTTCAAACCCCCTTGCTCCACCAGTAGGCCACCAGCACCCAGCTGCTTAGTGCTTAGTGAAAAACAAATGGAGGTGGTCACTGCGTTCATTTCAATCATACGTGAACATGGTTTCTTGATAGTCACCTGGTCACCTGGTGAAGTTATTGGTGCCTAATTGTATTGTTTTCGGACGTGACATTCTGGAGAGGCATGTCCTCATCTCACAAACAAACCTGTTTCTTATGCACCTATTCGTGTATCGAAAACCACTAAAAACAGCAGGTCGGGGTTGTAACTTTGAACACCCATGCAATCAACTATACACCTGCACAGGGTTCGAACTTGCAACAGTTTAGCAAGGCCCCGTGCCGACTTCCTTGACGGAGTCATGATGGCGCTTGGCACGTTGGACAAGCGGAACTCGTCGGAGCCGTCTGGGCTTCGGTGTGAATCCAATCCAATGCTGGTCCTGGTTTTGCTGTCAAAATACCTGAGAAAACCGTAAAACAATATAAAGGATTGGTTGTTAATGTGGGCAGCCATGGGTGAACCAAAATTCAACAAATTGCCCAAGAGTCAGACAGTGTCATTGCTTGGAAGAACTGAAATATTTTGGCACCAACAGCACCCAAACAAAGTGAAACGACCACACAGTCATTAAAAGTGCGGGGTGCGGCAGCTCAACTTTTTTTGCAACTTTCCTGCTGCATTCACTCATCTGACACACACAAACCCCACAACACACATTGATTCACAAAACACTGTGTAACTTTGAGGGCCTACCTATGGATAAATGTTTTCTTCATGATTTTTCAAGGCGCTGCTGCAAGCATGCAATCGTTTTTTTGCAACATGTTCGGCTTCATAAAATCACACACTTTGTCCAGGCCTTCCCAATCCGTGACAAATCTTTCACAATGTGACCGTGAGCCTTTGAGACGAAATTGCACATTTTTTTGCACGCATGGGGCTGCCGTTATCGCAGGAGTGCGAAGGTTTTTTTTGCACGGATCGAGCCGCCATGTGTGCAAAGAATGCACAGGTCAGCTTGTGCTGCTTGTGAATGAGTCTCCGGCCAGGAAGGGGCAAAAACAAGCAAACCAAACAAGCAACGCGAACCAAACCAACCAAACCAACCAAACAAACAAACAAAACCACGAGGCCGATAAGGAGACTCAGGTAGGTCACGCAGAGGTGAAACAAAAATAGAGATCCAGGTCTAGGTGAAACCTAAATGGGGCATTGAATTATTGCAAAAAGCCCCTCAGCACCCGTTGCGAAGGTTCGAATGCAAATATCGGCAAATGTGCGAGCGAGTGCACTTGTGTACTTGTGCACTTGGTTGAGTGGCCTGTATGTCCAGGCCGTGCATTCTATGTCTGCGCAACCAGCTTGCTTGGAGAGGCAGCGGCACTCCGACAGGCAACCAGTTATCAGCTGATTTTGAAAGCAGCGGGCAGGCGTGTAGTAGCTCTATAGGACGGTCGATGGAAAACCACTGCGAAATAGAAAGCCCTAGCGTGACAAACGAAAGGTTGCCAGCAGTGTGACCTTTCATGAATGGTGTGTTGCGCTGTCTATGATTCATAGTTGGCTGTTAGCAAAGGACCGCGAAGGTGCAGTGCATGTACAGGCTTTGCAGCCTCCCTCCACAGGAGGGAGGGAAGCGGCTACCGCGAAGCGAGGCTACGCCGAACTACACCGAAAACTGTTAGGCAGCGCCCTGTTTTGGACCCACACGCTTCGGCGGTAAAGTGATATGAACAGATACTACACTTGAGTAGGTTCACAAAGTCTAACACGCCGCCTAAAAGCTCGACGCTCTAGTCGTGCTTTTCTCAACTCCAGATACCACTTCTGCTAAGTGGCCTCAGGTTAAGTCCACCTGGAGTTTTCTTCATTCACATACTTTGTACAGTATGGACCGTTCCGGCATTGTTCCAATGCTATTTCGACAAAAACTTTCATGAATTCTCAACCGCAAAAATTGCTTCGTTGTGTCCAGAAATGATGTGTGTTGATGTAAGGTTGGTTCAGCTGGCGCAACCTTACACCAAAATCAAAATTCCATCAACTCTGTAGGCTGCTGGTTCAGATGGTTCAATCAGCCTACCAATACATTGAAGTTGTAAACCAAAAAAATCAACCACCAACAATCTTGTCAATCTCGGAGTCAGAGGAAAGATGTGCAAATTCGTCCACATCTCAGGATCAGATACTTCTTCCATTCCACTATTCAAATATCTTGCTATTCTTGTGTCTTCGCTCTCACTGTCCTCAATCTCGCTTTCTTCTCCAGTTTCATTTCTATCAGGCCTTGAGATTGCCGCCGCCTCACTTGAGACTTCTAGACTCCTGCCGGGAACTCGATCTTGATCAAAATAACCACTCTCTTCTCCCATGCCTTCCAATGAACTTCCTGCTGCTCCCGTTGGTTCAGCTCCTGGTTCTGGAACTTCCGGTACCTCAGGAGCTTGGGGACGTTCTTCATCCACTGAAAGGTCTGTCATTTGCTGACAGAATTGGTGAGCCCTTCTTCTGGCTCTTTCTCCAGGATGTTGCTCAAGATCCATCAAAACTGACCGTAAGATCTCCCTTCTCTTCTCATATTTCTTTCTCTCCTGCTCATCTACCAGCTCTTCGTGAAATCCGTGCTTCAACTCTTCCCAACATCCAATAAGTGAACCATTCAGGCGACCATGGCGCCCATCGCTCTGGCGGGTCAATGGGCATAGGT